TTTACTAAGTAAGACATACAATAATCCGCGTCATCAGAATTATAAACTGGGTTCAAGTCAATGTTGCTTAAATCTTCTTCAAGTTTATTTATATTAATTTTAGAAATTATTTGCGTGCGAGTTGAATTAAGCAATTTGCAATTTAAGGTTAGTAGGGCTTTATGATTTAGCTTTATGATCGGTTATTGTAGAGTTAGTAACTAATGTTATTGATTTAAAAATAGATTTAAGCATAATATAGTCTAAGCAAGAGCCGCTTTGATGTGTATGGAGAGTGTGGGCAGGTAGTAATCCATGAAAAGAGCATAGGTTTAGGTATTCTTGCGCACAGGAATCGATGCTATGTGGGAGAATGTTTATGTTTATGTCTCCTATTAATACTACATTTTTAAAAGTTGATAACAGTTGTAACATATCGTTAAGTGAGTCAGTAAACATTTTGGTATTTCTAAAAGAGGGGGATCTGTACAATGCTAATATTGCAATGTCTGTTCCAATTTTGATTAGGAGCCGATTGCAGTCCAACATACTTGGTTCTTCAACGGAGATTTTTAAATTATTCTTAGTATAAACCACTATACCGTCGTTCTGGTTGTAATTTTCTTTAGAGCTGTATAAGCTATAGCCTAGGCTCGACTAGGCTCTAGACTAGGCTCTTTGACCAACTGAGCCAGGCGACTCTTGACGCGCAGGCGCAGTTCCCATCTGCGGAGATGGTCGTGTTGGGGGACTTTAATGCTCACCATGAATCATGGTTAAGTTCCCTCAAGACTGACCATGCAGGAAGAACTGCCCACGCTTTCGCTCTCACGCATGACTTGACCCAACTGGTAACCCAGCCCACCCGGGTTCCAGACATATCGGATCATGCACCCTCTTTGCTTGACCTTCTGCTCGCGAGTCACCCTACCTACTATACAGTATCAGTCAGCGCCCCCCTGGGAAGTTCTGATCACTGTTTGGTTGGGTGTAAGGTTTCCCAAATGCCTCCAACTAAGTTGAAGGAGGTCACTCGTCGCATTTGGCACTACTCGTCAGCGGATTGGGATGGTATGCGCGACTACTTTGCGTCCATCCCTTGGTTGCAGCACTGCTTTGCGGGAAAGGATGCCTCAGCAGCGGCCGATGCTGTTGTCGATGAGATTGGAACGGCTATGGATTACTACATACCGTCTTCCAGTATCATCCCCAATCGCAGAGGACGCCCTTGGTTCAATCGCGAATGCATGGACGCTGTTAGTGAGAAACAGGCTGCATATCGTGGTTGGATCAGGGGTCGTGTAACAAAGGATCCCAACCTTGCGTCCCTTAATGCAGCTTATAACAAAGCAACCAAGTGTTGCAGGAGGGCTTACAAAAGAGCGGATGCCCAGCGCGTTTCACGGATTGGCCAGAAGCTGGTAGCCCATCCCACCGGTAGCCGTGCCTACTGGAGCCTGGCCAAAGCCGTGCAGTCCAATTTTTGTCGTTCATCGCTGCCGCCTTTGAGGTATCCCTATGGATTTTTGGCCTATGGCCCCGAAGAGAAAGCCAATTTATTGGCCGACCTTTTTGGGGCTAACTCGCGCATTCACGACCAAGATGCGCAACCGCCGTCAATTCCCCACTGCGGAGTCACAATGCCTGATATAGTTATCAGACAATGTGATGTCCGCAAGGAATTGCAGACTCTTGACGTGCGGAAGGCCTATGGTCCGGATGGGATACCTCCTATCGCCCTTAAAAGGTGTGCGGCGGAGTTGTCTCCCGTACTAACGCGCTTATACCTCTCATACCAATCTGGTAACGTGCCCCTAGCTTGGAGGGAGGCCAACGTGCAACCTATCCCCAAGAAAGGAGATCGGTCTGATCCGACAAACTATCGCCCAATAGCTGTCACTTCAGTGCTCTGCAAAGTGATGGAGCGGATTCTAAATATCCAGGTAATCCGGCACCTGGAACGTCACTCCATTCTTAATGATCGGCAGTATGGGTTTCGGCCGAACCGATCAACGGGTGACGTTCTAGCGTATCTAATGCATCTCTGGGGTGAAGCTATCGACAAACAGGGTGAAACCTTAGCGATAAGTCTGGATATTGCTAAGGCCTTTGATCGGGTCTGGCACCGTGGTCTCCTCTCCAAGCTTCCGGCATATGGTCTTCCCGGACGCCTTTGTGAGTGGATCTCCGGCTTTCTGCGCGAGCGAAGATTGCGTGTCCTTATTGACGGAGGCACTTCGCGGCTCGTGACAGTTAATGCTGGGGTGCCACAGGGCTCCGTGCTGTCGCCCACGCTGTTCCTTCTGCATATCAATGACTTGTTGCCTTTTGGGAACATTCATTGCTATGCAGATGATGGCACAGTGCACGGTTGCTATTATAAGCAATCGTCAAGCACCCGGGAGAACCCTGAGAGAAACCGGGAAAAACTTGTCGCTGAGCTCAACCATGTTTTGGAACATATATCGTCGTGGGGCTCCCGAAACTTGGTTGAGTTCAACACCAAGAAAACCCAAGTATGCGCGTTCAGCTCCAAAAAATCCCCATTCCTTCCACTTCCCCATCTTCAGGGTACAACGCTGACGCTGCAGGACAAGCTCAGTCTACTGGGGATGAGCATCCGGAAGGACATGAGCAACAAAGATTATATCGAGAGCGTTATCTGTACCGCGTCGCGCAAGCTTGGCATCTTGAATAAGGTGCACCGATTTTTTACTCCAGAGCTGCGATACCTGTTGTATAAAGCTCAGGTCCGAAGCAGCATGGAGTACTGTTCGCACCTTTGAGACGGCTCTGCCAAGTACTTGCTCGATGCCCTAGATGGACTGCAGCGCTACGCCTTCCGTGTTGTCAACGATCCTCATGTAACTGAGCACGCGGAGTCGTTACAGCTTCGCAGAGATATAGCGTCTCTTAGCGTATTCTATCGCCTGTACCACGGTGAGTGCTCTGAAGAGTTATTCAAACTTGTCCCTTCCTCTCCTTTCCATCAGCGGACCACCCGTGCCGGACTGCGTTGCCACAGTTGGACGGTCAGTTCAATACCGTCCCGCACTAAAAAGTTTGGCAATTCGTTTTTATGCCGAACCATCAAATTGTGGAACCAACTCCCGGCGCATGTATTCCCTCCCCTCTATAACATCGGGTCCTTCAAACGTAGTGTGAAGAAGCATTTGGCCAGACCGGCAAAATGATAGTGACGGAGTGAAGATATTTGTGTTTTCCATCCGTTACTCTCATCTCTGGACTGTATTCGCACTTTCCATCATTTTGCCGAGTCACAATAAAAAAAAAAAATCTAACCAGCACTCTGTCAGAATTATGACATCACAGCCAATGTTCATTCTATGCTGAAAAGTACTAAAAGCGTCAAAATTTTTGTAAATGCTGCGTATGTTTTGTGTTAGCATGGAAAGAGGATTGTTAAAGGGTAATAAATATTGTCTGCACATTTCAACTTCACAAGACTTTGACTCTGATACAGAGAAATTATCTAGATCGCGAACTAAACTATCACTCATAGTGTTTAATTAAATTAAGATCTATTAAGTAAAACTAGTGAGTGACGCTCTTAGGCGCCTTCATAATCTATTGAATGAATGTACCTTTTTTCGGCAATTTTTCTCGCGGGACAATTAAAATCTCCTGTTTGGTGGTCGCAGGTCTTCTTGAAATGTAAGCATGTAGCACATTTAGGAGGTTCGGTCTTCTTAATGCAGTCCTTTATTGTGTGGCCGGCTTCACCACAGTGGCCGCAGATGGTGGCCTCCTCCCGGCAGGTCTTGGCAGCATGACCATATTGCTGACATTTAAAGCACCTAGTAACTAGAGTAAAATCTCTTACAGGACACGACGACCAGTTGACAAAGACTCTATCGTTTGTTATTAGGGCCTTACGTATATGTGGAGCGACTTCAAATATGTAATTGCAGGACTCGGTGTTTTTAATTGGGCCACCTGTTTCAGCTTTTCTAGGTCGTCTTTGGTGTCAGTGCTTATAATAACACCGCCGTTCTTAGTTTTGCGTAACCCTCTTACGTGCAGTTTCATTTCTTCAGGTCGGATAATTTTTTGAACCAGGTTTTTTGTTTCATCACTAGATTTCAATTTGTCAGTAGGATAAATTGCTACAGAGCTTATCTTATTAGGCTGAACAAAATTATTGGAGCTTTTTTTTACCATGTCTGCAAAAGAAACTGTACTTGAGAGTGGATTTGTTGATTCTTCAATACGCTGCTTTAGGTCTTGAAGTCGCTGCGACAGGTCTTGATTGTCTTTAAGGGCTTTAAGGGATGAGTATGCTTGAACGGCTTTTTGTTTTAGGGATTGGTACTGTACTGCCATTTGAGACGTCCCATTTACCACTTTTCGGCACAAAGTGCTAATTCTTAGCTTTAGGTCTGAATTTAGCTTGCCTTCGGTAGAAATAGCACATACCTCGTTCAAGCATTGTTCTATTGCACTCATCCAGTTCTGGATCTCAGGCGTGGATACCACATCTGGAGGATCCTCGTTCTGAAGGGACTCTGCGGGCGCGGGGGGTTGAGACGAGGGCGTTGGCGGCGGGCTGCGGCGCGTTAGTGCAGTCCGATTAAAGGGACTGCCTTCCATTATTTGTTTTAATGTTTACAAGATGCATTGAAACATTATTACTTCCAATAAATTACTCAACACGAACACGTACTGTACTGACACAGATAATTTGCTTCCGCATAAAGTGGAGCTAGGTCACAATTATGTAAGTATTTAAAATATTATTTTAGTTAAACACGACCGATTACATCGCGCGACAAAAATGAATGGATGAATGAATTGACAATTTCCTTTTAGTTTTGAATAACATATTTCAGTATAAAGCTATTTAAGGGGAGGGTGTGTACAACACTTTATGTTTGCAGTATAACCTAACCAGATAAAGGTTAAACTTCTACAGCTTCAAAAGCTTTGCATCCAGTAGCATCACCACAAGATAACATTAATATATAGCTTCGAATAAAAGGTGTTTATGCCTCAACCGACTCATGAATACAAATGTAGTAAACACGAGAGGCTGTAAATCACACGTAATAATGTTACAACTTTGTATGGAGTATAGTTATTCGGAACATTACACGATCTCTCTGTGGATGCTCCGCAGCTAAGTTTTCTGATTAGCACTTGTTTCAAGGGTACAGGAGTGAATACTTCAAAAACTTCTGTATGAGTCCAAAAAAATCTTCTATCACCCTATTCTGCATCAGTCCATACTCAGACTCGCTACTTAAATTATAATACGAGGTAAAAGCTTTCAATTCGCCCTCTTGTTCGGTGGTGCAGTCAAAGCTACTCGTCCATGGACTTATTCACGACATCTTCCAGAAAAGAAAACTTAATAAAGATAGAGCATGCTCAAAAATGCCCGAATATTCAAAGCTTCCTGGCCTCTAAAATCTCAATAGATTTCATTTTAAACGCAACGGATAATACAATTGCTGTATTTCTAGTTTGTTATTCCGCCGTTGTCTTTGAGGATAAATCTGCGGTATCAATTAGTCCTATTCCATAAGTATATAAATATTTGTTTGCGCACAGGGACATGCATGCAGTAGTGTGCGGAGGTACCAAAGGATTGTGCGATGCCATGAAGCCTGCCAGTGGAGCAGAGTTGCTGCGGTACCTGAGGAAAGTTAACTTCACCGGTGAGTTCAATTTTCTTATAGTAGCTGGAAAGAGATGATAAAAATATATTTATATTTTGTGTGTATTACTTATTTATCTACAGCGTTCCTCGCAGACGTAGAGTACTGAAGCCATGGATCACTCCTGGCCTTATAAGATGCATGCGGCATAGGGACAATTTATACAAAAAATTTAAGAATGCGCCTGCAGATGAAATACTTAGTGTCATATAAAAGATACCGAAATTATTAGATGCTCATATTAAATGCTCGATTGAAAAGGGCAAAAAGAGAATATGAAAGATCGGAGTTCAGAAGGGCTGGTGGTGATGGTAGACGTGTGTGAGAAGTTATTGGTAGAGTTACAAATATAAGTAAGTCCAAAATATCAGCAAATAATCTTTCACTCACAGGTAATAATACGCAAAGTTGTATAGATGAAGTGAACACCTTTTTCGTGAATATTGGTGCGAAGCTCGCACAAAGCGTCCAGCGTAATATCTATAATATAATATAATCTCAGTTAAACGAGCAAGTACACTGCGAATATTTTGTTCTGCTGTAAACGGATGAACCAGAAGTTGAGCAAATTATTAACTCGCTAAAGGCATATTGTGTCACTGGTTGGGATGGCATTTCTGGCAACCTTATTAGACGCTAAAAGAAACTGATTATACCTCCGCTCATCTACATTTGAATCTTAGACCAGTTTAAAAAAGCGCTGGTTCATCCTATTTACAAGGCGGGTGATCGAAGCAAAGTAAACAATTACACGCCAGTCTCAGTCCTACCTGCTTTTTCCAAGGTTCTTGAGCGAATTCTCAACAACAGACTCATACATTTTCTAGAATCTCGTAACATATTGTCCATTAATCAGTATGGTTTCAGAGAAGTAGGTTTACGGCAGGCGCAGTTCACAACTTGGTCGATCATGTGGTTACGCATTTAGATGAACGAGTTAAATGTCTTGGAATATTTTTGAACTTAGCCAAAGCTTTCGATACGGTGTCAATCCCTCTCCTTCTGCCTAAGATTCAGGCTTTGGGTATCAGAGGACAACAGCTAAAAAGTGCGTAAAAATTGGCTCTTTTGTAAGTAGTCACTAACCAATTGCAAACTACACTATTCCTTACCTACATAAAATATATATGCATATGCAAACAAAAAATTGATAATTGTAAGATTTTCTCGTATGTAGGTGATACGGCTTTAATGAAATGAAATGAAATATTTATTCGCAAGCAAACACAGTAACAAAAGATATTATTATACAAGATGTCAAGAACACGTGTTGCACCAGATACTGGCACGCAAATATTAAAATAAATTGAAGTTAAATAATGTCATAAATTTAAATTATATAATTTGTCAAATAAGCAATGATTTGACATTAAACAAAATTAAGTCAAAATGCCAATAAATCAGCAATAAAATCATAAATGAAATAATATCAAAGACGTAATAACAGCACAAATATAAACAAAATGTCAAATACAAAATAAATGTCAATTTCTTTTTATTATTAAAAAATCTTTAATATCATATAAACACAGATCACATAGCAAATCAAATAACTTTTTTTTTATATTTTTATAGGTAAGTCTACGATAGCTGCAGGCATAGAATTATATATTTGTATGGATATATTATAGCAATTCCTATAAAAGCAAGTAGTCTTATGGGAGGGGCCAGCTAAGCGGTTTGGATATCTAGTTAAAAAATTACATACTTCACGTTTCCTAGTAAATAAGACCAAGTTTTTTTTACAAACATGCATACCTCATATACGTACATGGCGGGAGGCGTTAGAAGATTTAGCTTTCTAAAAAGCGGTCTACAGGATTCGAGAGGACCTACTCTACATATAGCCCTGACACATTTTTTCTGGATAGCAAATACACGGTTTAGCTCTACGCAGTTCCCCCAGATGATGAGGCCATACCGCAAGCTTGAGTAGACTAACGCATGGTAGGCCCTCAAGGCAGTCTTTTGATCACATATGTGCGTTAGACGGTGTAAACTAAATACAAATCGACTTAGCTTTGCATATACTGAATCAACCTGTAGTTTCCATGTCAGTTGAGAGTCCAAGACTATGCCGAGAAAATTGCTGGATGAGCGTTCCACAATTTCATCTTCATGACAACTTACAGAGAGTGTCTGAGGCTTTCCATTATAATTATAAAATTGTATGAGCTTTGTTTTTGAAACATTTACTTTCAGATTATTTCTCTTAAGCCAGTCAATAATAATACATATAGTGTCATTTATTTCTTTTTCATAATGATTCATATGTCATCTGCAAAAAGAGTGCATAGATATTTTGTAATTTCAGGGAGGTCATTAACATATAATAAAAGCAGCAATGGACCTAAAATACTTCCTTGAGGCACACCGTATTTATTTACTTTAAACTCTGATCTGTGGGTCTCAATCTCATTATTATTATTTAACTTCACTACCTCTACACACTGAGTTCTGTTGCTAAGGTGACTTGCTATCCAGTTATGCACCTGGCCCCGAAAACCATATCTTTCTAATTTGGGTAGTTCTATGGCAAACGCAATCGAAAGCTCTACTCATGTCAAATAAAACAGAACAAACAGGTACTTTCGTATCTGCAAAAGTTCAGATATCTTTGATTACCCTGAAACATGCTTGTGTGGTAGATTTTCCCTTTTGAAATCCAAATTGCTCTATTTTAACAATGTTGTACTTTGATAGGAAAGCCGTAATTCTTTTATGCATTACCTTTCAAAAAGCTTGGATATTACAGATACAAGTGCAATAGGTCTGTAGTTTTCCAAACTGTCATTTTCGCCCCTCTTAAACAGCGGTTTTATTTTGGAGATTTTTAGAGGCGGCGGAAACGTACCCTTCGTGAAGGATAGGTTTACCAAATATGCCAGCAATGGCGATAGTTCTTCAGCACACGATTTAAAAACCTTAGTGCACACATCATCGTAACCGGAGTTTGTGTTGTTGGGGGATTTTATTAATGTTTTTATTTCTGCTTCGTCAGTGGAATATAAAAATAAACTTGACTCATGCACCTTTGGTAAAAAAAGATCGTTACTATCTTGTCCCGGGTCCGAAGTTTAAATTAAAAAAATGAGTGTTAAATATCGAGTTCTTAGGTTTTCGCGATTGTTACACATAGGAAATGAAACTATTTTTCCGGATTTAAATCGCGTAAACCTTTAAACCTGTAGGTTGACTGTCAACCGTGACCATGGGACCTGTAAAGGGCCCGAAACGTCGGTTTGTTTGAAAAAACAAATATACGTGATTTAAATCCGGAAAAATAGTTTCATTTCCAATGAGTGTTAAACTCAGATGCTATCTCTCGAGGATTTTCAATCTTAGTTTTATTTACGGTAATGTGTTCAATAAAATGTTTGTCACGCAAATGTTTGTTCTTTATTATGTTCCAAGTAGCTCTATTTTTGTTTTTAGCATTGACCATGTATCTATTATTACAATGCTTCTGAGCGGTAATGATAGTCCTTTTCAAAAATAAGTGTAGGTTTTATATAGAGTCTTTCTATTTCGTGTCTTTTTTTTGTAATAGTTCATATGTAATTTTCTTTTAGTGATACAGGACTTTCTAATTCACTTTGACAGCCATTTTAAATTCGTGTTATCATGAAACATTTTCACCTTAATCTTTGGAAAACATAAGTTAAACAATAGACCAAAATTATTATAGAAAAAACTAAACATAAAGGTCATCAACATAACTAAAAGCTCGGACCAGGCATAAGATTCTAAGTAGAATTTAAATTTAGTAACATTGTCCACAAAAGTCTCTGTTCATTTCAAACCAGTGCTTAATTGGTAATTTAAAAATAAAAAAGTTAAAAGTTGAGCCGTGATGTGGTCTGCAGACTGGTAGTGTTTCTCCAACAGCATTGGCAATACTACTAACGATATGATCTATGCAAGTATTTAAGCGAGTCGGTGTGTATATATGTAAGTGCATATAATTGTAGCTTTCTAACGAAGTTTTTAGGTCACGTGATAATTTATTGTCATGTAATGTATCCACATTCCAGTCATCAGTCAGTTTATTTTTCTTATTCGTTCTATTTTTTAGTCTATCTAGCAATAAATCTAATTTTTCAAAAAATATATTAATATTTGAGTCGGGGATTCTATATATGCAGATTATTAACAATTTATGTTGTATAATTTCTATTCCACAGCATTCAAAGTTTAATTCCAATGCAAGATCTTAAAGGAATGTTATAGGTCTTGACTCGATGTTTTTGTCATGCATTATACACACACCCCCTCGTCTTTTATTATGTCTGCAGAAAGACGAACCCAGAGAATAACCCTTATATGTATGTTTGCTTCATTATTTCGTTTAATAATTGTTTCTGACAAACAAAGAACATCAATTATTTTTTTGTTATTACGGAGGTCTGATAATGTGATTTCCAACAAGTCTTTTTTGCTTAAGAAACCCGCTATGTTTTGATGCATGATTCGAAAATTGCAATAAGTATCTATAAAAAGGAGAAGGAGTCACAAACATCATTTATCAACAAGCTTAAATCTTTGAAAATTTTAGCGAAGACCTGTGTTATTCAAATTTCCCTTAAAAACAATTTTTACAGGTATAAATAGGGACGAAACCTATCGATACACTACACAGTCTAGATTTAATATTGTCAAGAAATGGCTGGATAACAACCTACTTACGCTAAATATAGAGAAAACAAAAGTTATACCTTTTTCCATCCGTAACAGGGCTATTATACGGGATGCTCCATCTCAGATTGCTGTTGATCCTGTTTCTCCTCATTCAACTATCCCAACCTTTCTAAATACTGCAGATACTATTAAGTATCTTGGGATACTGATTGACTCCAATGTAAAATTTAAATTTCACATAACCTTATTGTCGGCACGAATACGTAAACTTATTATCATATTCAAGCAACTTCGCCAAGTAGCAGATGCTAATATTATGAAAATGGTGTATCTTGCACTTGGCCAGTCGGTTTTACATGTTGTATCTCTATATAGGAGGAGCTGCAAAATCTTTTCTCATATCTGCTGAACGTGCGCAAAGAGGAATTCTTAAGGTTGCTTGTTTTATGCCATATCGTTTTCCTACTAAGGAACTTTACACATTTTGTCAAGTCCTCACTGTCAGGCAACTGTTTATTCTCCACTTTGTGTTAATGCAACATGCAATCACACCTTACAATAGCGCCTCCACGTGGCGAAATCATCTAGTCGCTACTGGCATTCATCTCAAAACTGGTTTTAGTCATAGGTTCTTCTGTTTTCTTGGACGCTATCTTTATAATAAGCTCCAAGATAGGCTGAAAATTTATGAACAGAATAAATATGAGTGTCGGAAGATGCTTGTAAACTGGTTGCTTATCCTTTGGTATGAGGACACGGAGGCTATGCTTCATCCGAATGCTTTATTTAAATTGTAAATTAAGTTTTGCAGTTTGGTTCACATTATTATTATTATTATTATTTTATTATTGTTTTTAAATATATTTACATACACATTATGTAGGCACATATTCAAACACAACGCCCACAACACGCAAATCACGCGCGCACGCACGCACGCACGCACGCACGCACGCACGCACGCACGCACGCACGCACGCACGCACGCACGCACGCACGCACGCACGCAC